AATGGAAGGATCTAAGATATCTCCAAAAGTCTCATAATGGAATACTATCCACATCCAGAGAAAGAACTATGGAGTCTGAATGCAGATCAAAGCATACCATTTGCTATTTTTTTCTTCTGTTTTGTTTTGTTTCCTCTTCCTGGTGGCTCCTTCTATTGGTTGTAATTCTTCCTCACAACATCATAAATGTGAAAATACGTTTAATAGGAATGTATGTATATAGCCTAAATCAGATTGTGTGCTGTGTTGGGGAGGGAGATGGGGAGAAAGGGGGAGGAAAATTTAAAATTCAAAAGCTTATGGAAGTGATTGTTGATAAAATAAATTAATGAAAATTTAAAAAAAGATTTGGGGACCTGTATCAGATTGTACCATATAACTTTGTTATACTGAGCCAGTCCCCTTTGTCTGTTAGTAAGAACAGATACATGACAGGCCACAATAAATAATACAAAGAGGGAAATGATGATGTGACTCAAGCTTTGTCCTCTGGAGGTTACTTCACTCTTGAGATAACGACAGATGTTGGAGCTGGCTAATTGAATGATGTATTTCCTTCCACAATGCTCCCAAGAAGCAGTCAGTGTGACAGACCTGACCAGCCTGTGCTTTACATGCTGTTTAGTTGTCCAACTGGGCCCCAAGGCCTGGGGTCCTGGATGCTGGAGGCCTAGTGTGCAGGGCACTTTTGACCCTGACATTCTTGCTTTTCTACAGTTATGTCACTAACTTGCTCTACATACTGAAATTCAATTTCCTTTCAGGGATCATGGTGTGCATTCAAAAAAGATCACCGTGAAGATTTATGAATGCGAATGGGACACATGCTCAGCATTCTCAAAGGACCTATTGCCACCTCAAACTGCATACTTGGAGAGCAGAAGCACCTGCAAACCATCAAGACTCAGGTGCATTAACTTTTTGTCTCTGAAGGGATGTGGTAAGAGCATAAATCACGCCTAATGATGACTAGCCATTTCACCCAGAGTGCTCACATATACCCAAACAAGAACCAGAAAATTATAATTAGTAAGTTGTTACGAAAAAAGTATTTCTTTGTATATGGTTTCCCTGCCAGGTTTCTTTCTTACCTAGGTAGAGACTTAGAGAGTGAACCACTTAAGAAGGGTTTGGCCTTGGCAGGAATCGACAAATCTAGAACCACATGTGAGAGCAATAGCTCTCAGGGAATCCCATTACCTGAGGGTGTCAACTGAACACAACCGCACACGCTGAGGACCCTGTGGCGTAAGCAGAAATCTGAGTGGAGTCAACATATGGCATTTCTCCTGTGCGCAGGTAACGCTACCTGGAATAAAGCCACCTGCTTTAATTTCATGCTTGCTGATGTCTGAGTGGGAGCCATGTTTAAAGTTTGCCTTGAAGTTCCAAAACATGTAGTAACTGAGAGTACATACGTTTCTGAAGTTGCCCTGAAAAAGGCCTTTCTTCTGTATATAGCCTCAGTTCAGAAAACTTCTAATAGAAGCAACTGGCTGCATGATGCCTGAGTTTACTGTCAATATCTTCAGCAAAGTGATAGTTTGCAAAGAAATCAAGATGCACAAGGAAGATGGTTTGTCACGGACTAATGGAAAGCCATTCCATATGAAATAGCTTGTCTGTGAACAAAATAGGCCCAGAAGGTGGCCAAGTCCTTCAAAGACAATGCATTGCTTACTGAAGTGATGGACTTCCCATGGAGTAGGTCAAAAGTAGCCATGGAAAATGTGAAAAGATTCCACTCACCTTTTGCAGAGAGCTTGATAATGGTTCAGAAGATAATGATTCATATGAAGAAGGAATTGGGTTTTGGTACCAACTGGAAGGTCAGGGAACTTATTGGAAATACTCCACTCTGCATCAGCTGCCCTGCCTGGTCTCAACTCCAAAGAACAAGATGCCCCAGGATGATGTACCCCCTAGTCTCTCTCCACCACTCCTTCAATATCCTGCCTCCTTTTGTGTGTTGTCTTCCCCCTTTAGATTTGTCAAGATATTAGGAGACGCCCTGTTTTCCAGAGCTGAGGCCCAGCAAGCAAGCCGTGCTGTGGTGTAACAGCAATCCTTTACACTCACTTTCTGAATGATCTCAGTCACAGCAAAACCCCAGAATTGTTTCATATAATTATTGTATTGCTTTGACCAGCACCAAGAGTTCTCTGAGCTCAGACAAGCACCTGCTGTATCCATGTTCTGGTCTTGAAGCCCTTCTATGAGTCAAACTTGTCTCATTGTTGCTGTTACCCCTCATGGTCAAGGCTACAGATATAAGTATTGAGACCTCCCCACACTGCCTCAGGTCCTCCCCCCAGGGGCAGGTCTCTGGCATATGTGTCCTCTCTTGGGAGACGTTTCTCTCATTTTGAAATTAAGCTTCTGTTTGATTCCTGACTCTCCTGCTTCCAGCCTGCTTTGTTCAGCTCTGGCCACCCATAAGTTAGAGGCCGGTTCCATTCAGTTGGGAGATTGTAAGCTCTTTTAGGGCAGGGACTGTCTTATTAATTGTACTCCCAGCACTTAGCACAGTACCTGACACATAATAGATGCTTAATAAATGTTTATTGGATTGGTTTATCCTAGCCACATGTAGACTTCACTTTTAAACAATGAGAGAGGGCTGAATCCAGAGTGCTCCTTTCCAATCTAATAATCCAGTTGTAGAGTACTGTAGGAAACAGAGACCTCCCACAGGAGACTCTGATAGTCTGGACCATCTACAAATTCAGAATTAGGAGTACAGGTCAGTAAGTTTATGAATGTTGGCAGCCTTTCCCAAGCTTAGGTTTCATTCTGTGTACCAAGAGATCTGTGGTCTCCATCCTGGATATTGGTCCTGGGCCACTCACAAGCTCAGGAGGTCAAGGTAGAAATGCCAGGCCCATTTGGCTACTGACCAAGCTTATTCACAATGCTCCAGGAAGAGAAAGAGACATAGAGAGCCAGACAGTCAGAGCCAGAAACAGAGACAGACAGACAGACACACACACACACACACACATACACACACAGAGAAGAGAGAGAGAGAGAGAGAGAGAGAGAGAGAGAGAGAGAGAGAGAGAGAGAGAGAGAGAGAGAGAGAGCGCTAGACAGCTGGAGCCAGAGTCAGACAGAAAGAGTCAGAGAAACAGAGCCAGAGCCAGAGACACAGAGAGAGAGAGAGAGAGACAGAGAGACAGAGACACAGAGAGAGACAGAGGGAGACAGAGAGAGAGAGGCAGAGGGAGACACAGAGAAAGAGAGAGAGACAAAGAAAGAATAAAGAAAGAGAGAGAGAGCCTACCTATTGGAAACCAGAAGGATCAGGCTTAGTGGGAGCACATGAAATGAATGGAAGACATCAGTGGCACTAGAGTATTGGAGACTTGAGTTGCCTCTGCTCAGGTTCCGGGGCCACCTATGTACCCTACACATGAGTTCCTGTACATATGCTCCCCAGTCATGGGCGTTCCTTACCTATGTGACTCTATGTGTCTATTTTCCCACTGATGTTATTACGTGTGTCTGTGGGAGAGTGTGCCCTACCTTAATGGCCAAAATGTTATATTGATACTTTTCAAACTTTCCCATTATTAAATGCCTTTACTCTGAACCAATTGTGTTTTCTGACAGACTATTATAAGCAAACATATCAGAAGAGGTTTGTGTGCTGTGGCTTTAAGGGTTTTCTGACCCAGAGAGTACCTTGAACCTGGGGCGGATTTATCCGAGGAATCTACTCTTCCAGTTCAGGGGTGTCCCCAGGTACTACAGACCATTTGATCTTTTGAAGAAATACGTGATTTAGTGTTGTAAGACCTTAGTGGTCATTTTATAGCTGAGAAAATTGAAGCTACTTCATTTGAAGACTGGCTCAGTCAATGAGGATAAGTGACTTGCTCCAGGTAGTAAGGTTTGAACCCAGGACTAGATCCAATATCCTTCCTACTGTACTTCTCTGCCTCTCTAATCCTCTTAGAAAAATAAAGAATTTATTTCAGAGAATAGCGAATTTAAAAAATTTTTATTACAAAATGAAAATATAACTGTTTATGCTGAAGGTTTTTGGCTTATCTAACTATGGCTTCTCCTTGGTGTTTTTTGAGGGGAAGCATAGTAGATAGAGTATAGGACTTGAAACCAGAAAGACCTTACTTTGAATCCCGCCTTATACACTTACTAGCTCTGTGACCTGGAACAAGTCATTCAACCTTTATTTGTCTCAGTTTCCTCTTTTGTAAAATTGAGATGACAAGAGCACTTACCTTCCAAGATTGTTTTGAAGATCAAATGAGATAATTTTTTCTCTTTTTAAAAAAAATTATTTATTTTTAGTTTTCAACATTCGCTTTCACAAGATTTCAAGTTCCAAGTTTTCTCCCCACCTCTCCCCTCCCCCCACCCCAACGTGGCATGCATTCTGAGTACCCCTTCTCCCAATCTACTCTCCCTTCTATCATCCTCCTTCCCTTATCCCCTTCCCTTTCTATTTTCCTGTAGGGCAGAACAGATTTCTATGCCCCATTGCCTATACATCTTATTTCCCAGTTGCATGTAAAAACAATTTTTAGCATTTGTTTTTATAACTTTGGGTTCCAAATTTTCTCCCTTCCTCCCTACCCACCCTCATTGAGAAGGCAAGCAACTCGATACAGGTTATATACACATGTAGTCATGTAAAACACTTCCATAGTAATGTTGTGAAAAACTAACTGTATTTACCTTCATCCTCTCCCGCCCCCCTGTTTATTCTATTCTCTCTTTTAACCCTGTCCCTCCTCAGAAGTGTTTGCTTCTGATTACCCCCCTCCTCCAGTCTACCCTCCCCTTTATTATCCCCCCTCTTATCCCCTCCCCCCCCATTTTCCTGTAGGGTAACAGAGATTTAGATACCCAACTGAGTGTGTGTGATGTTCCCTCCTTAAGCCAAATCTGATGAGACTAAGATCAAATGAGATAATATTTATAAAGTACTTTACAACCCTTAAAACACCACACAAATGTTAGCTATTATTTCCATAGGAAAAAAATGTACATGTTGCTCATTTAATTCAATTCTCTTTATTTGTTGAATGCCACCATGTTACATGATGCGTCACTAGCTGATTATTCTTTGGGAAACTCTTGTCACCAAATCTTTTGTGAAGTTTATCAATAAAATCCTCTAGAGTTGAGATTTGTTTCTTCTTAGGTTATACAACCCTATATTGTAGCTCATCAAAGTCTATGTCAGACTCAGTAGCTCTGAAGTATCTATTCTGTAGGGTTTCAATGACTCATTGAAAAATATCTTTCAAATAATCTTCTCCCTCCCCATCTATGAGACAAATAGGTGGCACAATGGAGAGACCATGGGAATTGAAGTCAGGCAGACTTAGGTTTAAATCTTCTGGCACTTGATAACTCTACAATCTTGGGGAGTCACTTAATCTCTCTCAGTCCCAATTTACTAATGTTCAAAAAAGGGATATCAATAGCATCTCCCTCACAGGTTTATTGTGAGGAACAAATGAGAAAATATGTAAAGCACTTATTCTTTTCCTCTCCTTTCTTCGCAATTTAGTCCTAAGTTAATAGGGGAGAAAAGATTCCTGTATTGGTTGAGAGACTGGGTTAGATGATCCCTGAGGTCCTTTTCATCTCTAAGGTTCCATAATGTGATGGGGCTGGAGTCAGGATGGGGTAGGGTGCAAATGGAGTGAAACTTCAATTTAGCAGCTACATTTCTCTAAAACTGTAACTGTAAGTGACCAACTTACGTGGTCCATCAAAATACCAAAGGATTTGCATTTTCTAGTTCAGCACTTGATGGGTCCATTGGAGTTCTGGTTTCATCTAGTGGTAGCCACATAAAGCAGCCAGACTCATCTGATCGTCCCTTGGCGAAGAGGTATTTTGGTCACTGCAGAGCTGAGCTAGGGCTAAACTCAGGATTTCTTTCTTTTCTTTGTAGAATCGAAGCTCTTGTCCAGCTCTTCTGGCTTCTTCCAACTCCCTCAGGGCCATCTGCAGCTCTTGAGAGATAATCCCTGGTGAATCTTGTTCCTTCATGATCCAGTCCAGGGCCATGTGACTCCTCATCCTTTCATCTAAAGAATACTGGGAATAGTAGGAAATCACCTCCTGTGATGCAAGAAACAAAACCAGAGCAAAGATAGTGAGAAACCAATGTATGTCTGGTATTTGTGGTTCACATCCTCCTTCCATTTTTCTCTCCTATCCCTTCTGCCGCAAGCCAGAAAGGTTTTTTCTAATAATTATGTTCCACATTGTGCTTATGGTAATAATATACAATGCTTACATGACACTGAGAAGTAGCATAGTGCAGAGGAAAGAATGTTGAGTTTGGAGTTGGAGAACTTGGAATCAGATCCCGACTCTAAATCTTGAAACCTGTTACCTGGGTCACTTGCCCTCTCTGAGACTTGGTTTCCTCATCTGTACAATGAGAGGGCTGAACTAGATGACTTTAAGCTCAAACAAATAACACTCCAGTTGTCTTACTGACAAAGTGGCATGGTAGATAGAGCGCTGGGTCTGGAGTCAGGAAGATTCATCTTCCTGAATTCAAATCTAGTCTCAGACACTTACTAGTTGTGTGACCCTGGGCAAGTCACTTTTAACCCTGTTTGCCTCAGTTTCTTCTTCTATAAAATGATCTGGAAAAGGAAATGGCAAACCACTCTAGTATCTTTGCTAAGAGAACTCCACAATGGAGTCACCAAGAGCTAGACAACAACTGTCTTACTGGTCCATCAACCATTCCTGTCCAGCATGATTCTCATTTTGTTTTATTTTTTAGAAATTTATTTTTTTGTTGTTTTCAACATTCACATTTATAAGATTTTGAGCTCTAAAATTTTCCCCCTCCCTCCACCCCACCCTCCCCAAGATGGCATGCAATCTGATACAGGCTATACATGTGTGTTCATATTAAACATAATTCCACATTAGTCATGTTGCATGATTCTCATTTTATAGCAAAGAGACAAGGAGAAAGCTAATTAGAAGAAGTCTGGGGCAAAATCAGTATAGGAATTAATTCATCCATTCCTATTCCTACCTACCTTTGTGGTGCAAGCCCTCATTGCTTCACACCTGGTCATTGCAATAGCCTGCTGGTTGGTCTCCATGCCACAACCCTCTTCCCACTCCAGTCCATCTTTCTCTCTGCATCAAAATGATCTTCCCAAGACTAAGCTTAACCATATAACTTCCCCCCACCCTGCCCAATTCAATGAACTCCTGGGACTTCCTGTCACCTCCAGGATCAAATATAAAATCTGTTTGGCATTCAACGTCCTTCATAACCTGCCACCCCCACCCCCACACTTTTTGGTCCTCTTAGACTCCCCCTCCCCTATATACTTTGCAATCCAGTGATTATTGCTATTTCTCAAACAAGATACTCTGTCCCCTGACTTCATGTATTTTCACTGGTTTTCCTCCATGCCTGGAATTCCCTCTCTCTTTATCTCTGCCTCCTAAATTCCTTCAAGTCCCAGCTAAAATCCTACATTTTATAGGAAACTTTTCCTGATCCTCTTTAATCCTAGTGCCTTTCCTATGTTGATTATTTCCTATTTATTCTACCTAAATATAACTTGTTTGTACATTTGCATGTTGTCTCCCCCCTTAGACTATGAGCAGGAACTGGTTTTTTTTTTTTGCTTTTTTTTGGTAAAGTTTTATTCCCAGTGCTTAGTATAATGCTGGGCACATAATAGCCAGGCTTAATGATAATAATAACCTGATAAATGTTTATGGACTGACTGACTAAAGCTGGAGCAGAGAGACCTCAGCAGAAGAATGAAGTATCAGCAAGCTTGGAGGTTTATCCAGGAGGGTACAAGTTACTAAATAACTTTATCATTAGTGGAGGGAGTGTGATATTCATAATGGCTCACCTCTCAGACAGTAGTAATAATGAAAAGCAGTGACAATATGTTATGATGTATAAATACTGGCTCTTATAAATATGATCATAGAAGCCTTATGATATGAGGGATGTGGAATTAAGAAGACGAGAATTGAGGCTCTGCCTTGATCACATCCCTGCTCTGTGGCCATGGACAAGCCTAATACTAACTATAAGCTCAAGTTGTGATCTGCATCAAAGGAGGAGTTCCCATACTGGGAGTTCCCTAAAATGAAGACATCATGTGTCTGGAAAAAATAAAAACATATTCATGCTTAAAGAGCTTCTTTTTCAAAGATTTGAATATTAGTCCCCATCTGACATCTCCTTTATGTAAGAATTCTCAGTAATGCCTTTTAACAGACTGTGTAGTTTTTATGAGTATGCTTAAAACTGATGATGTGGGCCGAATGACTTGTTTATTTTTATTTCTATAGACACATGGTATTTATTTACAATGTTAACAAAATTAAAAATTACCATGGAATCATGTTTACAGCAAGTCCAATGTATTTCAAAGTCCTTTTATAAAATCAAAGAGAAGAAGAAAAAATCCAAAGCTTTTGTAAATTACTTACTTCTTTCCCTTCTTTGATAGTCAGAATACTAGGCTTTTTGTAGCAAACAGCACAGAGAAATATTGGATCTAAAGTAAACATCCATTGCTAAATCTTCATCACTTATATTTGCCCTGATGCCAGATGTTTCATATACAGTATGATTTAAAATGCCCAAAAAGAAAAAAAAAACTGCAGCCTTGCTGCCCTGAAGATATTTCACTGAATAAACTTGTGTCACTCACCACGATTTCCCTATTTTCCTCTTCTACTCATCTCATGCCACAAAGATCTAATAGCTATTCTACTGTATGCCAGGTACCGTATTAAGCACTTAACAAAGATTATCTCATTTGATCCTCACAACAACCTTTCAAGGTCTCTGGTGGTGGTGGTGGTAATAAGTATTTATATGGCGCTTACTATGTGCTAGGCACTATGCTAAGTGCTTTTACAAATACTATCTCATTTGATTCCAAAAACAACCCTGAAAGGTAGTTGGCATATTGTAGCCTAAATTTTAAAAAAAGCATCCTGCTATTATTATCTCCATTTTACAGATGAGGAAACTGAGGCAAACAGAGATTAAGTGACTTGCCCAAGCAAATACCTGAGGCCAGATTTAAACTCGGGTTTTCCTTACTCTAGGCCCAGCTCTCCAACCACTGGGCCTCCTCTCTGCCTCTATCACTATCCTCCTTCATCCCTGTCTCATATAAAGAGGTGGGCCTTCTACATGAACAAGTGATCCCATTCCATTCTATCTTCTCCAGCAGATTTCCCCTTCTATCATCCCTATACTCTCACTTATCTTCAATCTTTCCTTGTCTACTGGCTACCTCCCTACTGCCTCCATCCATGCCCATATCCTTCCCCCATCTTCAAAAAGCCCTCATTTGACCCATCCATCCCTATTGGCTATTGTTCCATGTCTCTCCTCCCTTTTGTAGCTAAACTCCTTGAGAAAGCCATCTATAACCAATGCTTTTACTTCCTTTCCTCTCACTCTCTTCTTAACTCTCTCTATAATCTGGCTTCCAACATCATTCAACAGCAACTGTTCTCTTCCAAGTTACCAATGATCTTTCACTTGCCAAATTTAATGGCCTTTTCTCAATCCTCATGGTTCTTGACCTCTCGTTAGCCCCTGGCAATGTCAATCATCCTCCTCTCCTTGATACTCTTCTCTCTAGGTTTTCATGAGACTGCTTCTCAGTCTCCTTTTTTTGATCTTGGTTCAAGCAAACCCATTAACTGGGAGTGGGGGTCCCCAAGGGCTTGGTCCTGAGTCCTCTACTCTTCTTCTTCTAATGATTTCTCTTGATGATCTTACCAATTCCCATGGATTCAATTGTCTATATGATTATGATTCTCTGATAAACTTAACTTAATCTCCAGAATTGCATATCCAATTGCTTATTGGACATCTAAAACTGGATGTCTCACTGGCATCTTGAACCTCAACATGTCAAAAGCTGAATTCATTTTCTTTCCCTCAAACCCTTCCCTCTTCCCATATTACTGTTGAAGGCACCACTGTCTTCTAATGTAGGTATCATTCTCAACTACTCACATTCTGTCCCACTGCCCCCCCACCATATCTAATCTGCTGTCAAGTAACCTCTCTCATGTTTACCCCTTTCTCTCCTCTGATGCTGCCACCACCCTGATATAGGTTTTATCACCTCATGCCTGGACTATTGCAGTAGCCTGCTGGTTGGGCTCCCTGGCCCAAGTCTCTCCCCACTCCAGTCCATCCTCCACTCAGCTGTCAAAGTGATCTTCCTAAATAGCAGATCTAACCATGTTTACTACTGTTCCTGTTCTCCTCCTGCCCCATTCAATTAACTTCTGTGATTCCCTGTCAGCTCCAGGATAAAAAAAAATTCTCTTTTTGGTGTTCAAAGTCCTTCATAATCTGCCCCACTTTGACCTTTCCAGTCTCCTTACCCCTTACTCCTCCGTACATGCTTTTCAATTCAGTGACACAGACCTCTTTTCTGCTCTTGAAACAAGATACTTCCTCTCCCAACTCCAGGCATTTTCACTGCCTCTGCCCTATGCCTGGAATGGTCTCCCTTCTCATCTCCGCCTCCTGGCTTACCTGGTTTCCTTCAAGTCACAGCTAAAATCCTACCTTCTACAAGAAGCCTTCCTGATCCCTCCTTAATGTTAATGTCCTCCCTCTGTTGATAATCTCTATTTATCTTGCACATGTCATGTTTGTACATAGTTGTCTGCATACTGTCTCCCCCATTAGACTGTGAGCTTCTTGAGAGCAGGGACTGACATTTCCCCAGTGCTTAGTACAGAGCCTAGCACATAGGAGGCTCTTAATAAATGCTTGTTGACTGTTTGAAGATGAGGAAGGTGAAAATGAAATTTAGGAAATGCACAGTTAGGATTTTGTCTTTCTGTGGAGCAGTGTCAAAGCAGGCAAAGGATGGTTATAAAAATGAGTAGTCCAAAGGGGCTAGAGGTTTTTAAGAAAATCTGGGGGAACTACTTGTCTCCTCTATTATACAAGTGATGGTTGTTTGGGTATGGATTACCACTGAGACTATATCTCTGTGATAATGCACCACCCCTGGGAAAATGTCCTGATAGACCAGTTCATCTCCTTGGTTCATGCCAAGCCAGCCAATTCTGTCCACCTTCCTTAGGTGGGTATATCTTACCTGTCGAGAACATCTGGTTTCCCGAAGGGCTTTCAGGCTTCCATTCCAGTGCAGTAGCTGGAAAACAATCATCAGCTCCTGCAGAGAGAGAACTATCTGTTACTGACTGGCTTTTGTGAAATCTGAGTGGAAGGGAGAGATTCTCCAACCAGGTGGTGGCAGAGTTTGAGAACACTCTTTCCTCCTCAGTTCCCTGGAGGTCTCAGTGGGGTAAAGAGCATGAAGCTGTCAAAAAAAAAAATCCAAAACAAAAAACAACTCCAAACCACAGCACTTTTCAAACTCCAAAGACCTCAGATTTCTGAAATGTGCAACCCAGCATAGAATATTGATACTTGCAGCAATAGCAGAATTCTAAGTAAATTTCAAAGGAAGTAAATAGTCATAAAAGTAAGTTTAACTGGGAAATCATGGTTCTTATTGAAATATGACTTCACACTTGTCCACGTTCAAGGTCTGGTTGTATAATATTTCTTTCAGAATGTCAGCCACAATTCAATAGTGCAAGGTATATTTATGTAGTTCTTTAAGGTTTATGAAGTGCTTTCTCCGTGATATTCTCCATAGGAGAGGTAGTGCAAGTACTGAACACATAGATGTAAGACTGTGAGGCAGCAGTTGATTGGATGCTGCACTTGGGTTCAGGGAGAAGTGGGTTCAAATCCTGCAGTAAACATTTAGTATCTGTGACCCTGGACATATCACTCAACTTACTCTCCATTTGCAGTTTTGCTTGGTTTGGACTCCAGGAACATGATGCTCCAACCCAGGATAAACAGATCCACCTGAAATCTCATCATGCTGGTCAATTGCATTTTGGATGTTCAACAACTTTTTCAGTTCCCTCCCCCCAAATTGATAGGCTGGGTGCCAAACGTCTCCCAAAGCTTTCCTTTGTAGAGGGCTGGGATCTAAACTTTTGCTAATTCTCCACTTTCGTCACCAGCTCTGCTTCGTTTGGACTTCAGCAATGTTACCTCTCCTCCCCCCACCCCCAATTCCCCACTTTCCTGCTTCCTTTCCTGTGCATCTTTCTTTATTAGACTGTAAACTCCTTGAGGGCAGAGACTTTATTTTTCTTATTTGTATCCTAAGCACTTAGCACAGTGCCTAGCACATGGCAGGCACTTAATAAATGCTTATTGAATTGAGATGAATTTTTCTGAGCCTTAGTTTTCTCATCTGTAAAATGGGGATAAAACCACTTAACTTATAGGGGTATTCTGAGGATCAAATGCATGGAAAGTACTTTGTTAACCTAAAGGTACTATATAAATGTAAATCCACATTTTATGGCCAAGGATACTGAGGCTCAGAGAGGTTGAATGAATTTCCATTTTTGGAAAAGACACTTTAAAGGGGGCATTTTGTCCTACCAAATCAAACACTTGTTTTTATAGTCAATAAGCAATAAGTGTAGTAGGATCTTTGCTAGATCTTTTAGCCAATTATGTGTCTGATAAGAGGTGATATACTGAAATATGTAATTAGCAAAAGCACACCTGTTCCTTACTGTTGATAAACATATGAATTATATATATATGTACGTATAGATAAATACATAGATATATAGATGTTGTTCAGTCATTTTCGCTGTGTCTGGCTCTTCGTGACCCTATTTGGAGTTTTCTTGGCAAGGATCCTGGAATAATATGCCATTTCCTCCTCCAGCTCATTTTACAGACGAGGAACTGGTAAGGGGATTGGACAATTAGTTAGAAAGATATTACAGGGGACCCTGTGCTAGCACTTGACATAGGACAAGGTATTTTTTGGCAACTCCATTGCCGATACACAGTTCTGGGTCACAGTTCCAAGGCAGAAAGAAGTGTTGGTGCTTACAGCTTCAAGGGAGCTAAAAAATAATCCGGAAAGCAGTTTGGTAGAAATTATGTCCAGACCAACATCTCACATTGTATACTAAGATATGGTCAAAATGGGTAAATGATTTAGACATAAAGGGTAATATCATAAGCAAATTAGGAGAGCATGGAAAAATGTACCTGTCAGATCTATGGAAAAGGGAAGAGTTTATGACCAAACAGACAAAAAGTCAGAAACAGACGTATGCATGCCCAAGAAAGGAATTCTAACCTTGGGGGTTGCCTGGGAAGTGGCTCCAAGTTTAAGATTTTAGGAATCAGACTGTTGAAAAAGAGATAGGAATTTCATAATAATAGGCTCTCATGTAATTCTAAACAGCATCCTACATAGACAGCAAAGCCAGTGTGTGGATTGTACAGAGCAGGTTCCAGGGAAGGGTATGGGTTGTGCTGTGAAATTTAGATTATTGATCGATCAATAGTTAAGAGTTATAGTTAATCACTGGAAATACTACAAATGAGTCAGATTCATTTAGATTTGATCATACAGGCCTAAGTAGAAGAGTTTGTAAGAGTTTATGCTCCTCAATCATCTGTGCTACAACCTGGACTTAATAGCCCAGAAAGAAGGAGAGAGATAAGGAAAATGAGTCAATCTAGTCATAAGATGTTTCTACCCAGCACTTGGTCTCTGGTTCTGGGTGATGCTTGATATGGGAGTTTCCAAAGGATGTTGACCAACTCTGTGTTTTCCCTATGGTGATGGATTCTGGAGATCTTGTCTTTTGAGTGAGCATGAATAAGTAAAAAAGCACACCTTCACCTTTGCTATAGACCAATCACATTCTTAGTTTAGTTTGTATCACTGGACCTTATGTAACCAACTGTACAAAAAGCTGCACTGACTGCTGGGTGTGTCTTTGGCTACTGAGGATCCATTGACCACCTTTTATTAGCAATTGCTAGCCTTGCTTATAAATTTATTATGTGTGGAACTTTGTGCTTCAATTTCTCTTTATTGCATATTTTTATTGTGACAGTGCAAAAGCCTCAGAATGTGTATGCCTTCTGGGAAGAGGCCAAAGTACAGGGTGATACAAATCTGGGAGGGACTGTATAGGACCATAAGAGGGAGAGGGAGAGAGCAGATGGTCAAAAGCTAGCCCCAAAGGCAACCTTAAATGTAGATCCCTTCTAAAGGGTACTGAAGAGTTATTTGAAGGATTTATGTTTCTCTACCTGTTGGTGCATTCCTGTGAGCCCTGTACAGTTTCTGCATTTTCTTGTGGGGCAACATAAATGCTTTCCTATCCATACACATTGCTACCTTGAGTGCTTAATTAGGATCCCAGTATAAGCCAGATGTTACAGATTTGTCCTGCAGTAACTCCAGGTAAGAACAGTGAGACAAAGAAAGAAAATGATGGTTTCTGTCCCCAGGATCAGACCTCAACCATGTGAGCCTCGAGTCTTTGGGGGATAGGGAGAATCCTGGATTATACCTCTCTGTGTACATGTTCTATTCCTCTCAGCAAAATGTTAAATCTCATTAGGGCAAGGAATGATTAGGAACTGTTTTGTTTTATTTTTACGTCCCCAATGCCTTGCACAGAGGAGAAACCTAATAAATGTTTTTCAACTTGAGCTTTTAAAAATGTGTCCTCTTCCTAAAAAAAGACTCTCACTGGAAAAGAAATACACATAATGACTGAGTATGATATCTGTTCTACTTGGAATTCTCTGTGTAACACACTCTTTGCATGGTAGACCAGACTAGAAGCTGATCTTTTTAATTTCTCCCAGGGAATTGATTTTTTTTTTTTAGAAGACTGCGGATTAGGCCCTGGGTCTTCCCTTTAGGGAAAAAAATAGCCGTGGTCCTAACTATACCAGACTTCCTGGTTCACTCTGTCATTCATTCATTTTAAGACCAGAAACAACTGGAGTCTGTCAGGACGGAGCTTCCTGTTGTTGTCTCCCATTAGCCACGATGTTTGGCTTTCCAGCTGCCTTTAGGGGAGATAATGCACATGCCACTCCCTCAAGTGTCTCTGAGAGGCCTGGGCTGGCTCTGCACTTCATCAGAAACAAGAAAAAACAAACACTGTAAATTGATAACTTGGAAAACAGGTGGGCATCATCTCCCCACCCAAGAGAACGGATTTAAGAGGACACATGTTTATGGGAGGAGGTTTTTTAAAGGTGACCTGGATAGTTTAGAAAGATATAAACAAACAATTCTTTCTGGAATTGTATTAGTTCTCAAGGACTAACCATCTGCAGAGTCAAGTTAAAGATGCCACTTGGCTGGTTGTAACCTGACCTTGAAGAGACTTATTGTCTAGCTTGGCCTACCCCCAACAAATCATGCCTGCAATCTTCTTCACAACAAACCCACTCCCCCAAACAAAAACTGTTTTCTACGTTTACATAATCCTGAAGCCATGGGGTCATCTCAAATTTCATTTCCCAAACTGGAAAATGGGTCTCCTTGGTGTCTCCAAAGCAGTCAGAAAACACCAGCCTTATATTTTATGCATATGCGCAGGTTTTCCTGAGGTGTTGCGTCCATCAGGGATAGCGAGTTGTTCTTGTTGCAGAAACATCTTTGGGTGGGAGTCACATGCAAATCCAGGGTGATTTCACGTTTAACCCAGGCTACAAAAGAAAGCACTTGTTTCCAAGCATGCAAATGTATCTGATGGAAAGGAAGAATGGGAAGGGATGTGCTTCAGGGATTTTCCTCCCTTGTTGCCAACACAGATCTATTCTATCAGGATGGGGCTTCTCCCTTCTGCATCCTCCAACATCTGGTTCGGAGAATTTGGAAAGCATTTGTTCAATATGGTTCACATAATTACTTAATATTTATAGACAGTATACTACACATCCACCTAGAACATACAGAATATGCACAATCCTTTATTGGCCAATAAAAGTATTAATAAAAGGAAGAATGGGGAACAGACCCTTTCCTGACTCGTAGCACTGGATAGAATCCTAAGAGTTTGTTCTGTTCATCCCCCTGCTTTTGGTGGAATTAACCCAGCCACCTTAGGCAGATTCAAAATAATCCTGGGTTTTCACTGAACAGCCACAAAAATACACACAAGCTGCTGTTTCCTGAAGCATGAAATGTAACTTTCATAGTTGCGGAAGCAGGGTGTCCCTTTGATTTTAGATTGTCAGAAAACATGACCTGTGGTTAGTTGTGCCTTTTGCCAACTCCTTTTGGATTATTACTCTAGCATAGCGTTTCCCCAAATTTCTTGTCGTGAGGCACTATACTACAAGAGCAACGAGTGCCTTACTAGAAGTAGAGAAAGAATGGGATCTAGTGGAAATTCCACTGGATTCAGAGTCAGAAGCCCTGGGATCTAGTCCCGACTTTGTCTCAAACTAGCTATGTGACTGTGGATGAATCACTTTAACTCTCAGCGCCTCAATTTCCTAATTTCAAAAATAAAGATAATAATTTGGGTACTACCTAGTTCACAGGGTTGTGGTCAGGATCAAAATGAGATAATATATGTAAGATATTTAATAAGCCCTAAAAAACAATAAAATTAGCTATTTTTTTTTAACAAGATTCATTATTTTATTGATGTAGGGAGAACTCCTGGTAGGGAAATTTCCTCTACCAATACAGATCAGCAAATGTGCTATAATTTACAGTTCTATGGAGTTGCCTGGAGCACTGATCTGTTACATCACTTACCCAGGGTCACCCACGCAGCAAGTGCTGAAGGAAGGACTTGAACCCTGGTCTTCTTGACTCTGAGGCAAGCTCTCTATCAAGTACTCTATGCTGCCTCTATACATATAACATACTTCAAGCTAGAAGCTGGAAGCTCCACAACCACATGCCCAGTAGACCCATCCCTGGCAGTGTACAACAGGAAACTTAGCAGAGCACCAACCAGCAGAGATTACATTTCATCTGAGACCAGTAGGAAACAGGTACAGCAGGTACAACATGATGACACTGCCAGAAGATATTGGTGGCCCCATAGTATTAAGGTATGAATTGCCCCCTATACATATACCTCCCGGTCACATGTTCCCTCCATATGTTCCTCTCCATGTATGTAATCTTGCCACTGTGAAAAATGATTTTTTCTTAGAAATCATCTCAGAGCTTCCCCATCCTCCTTTCTTTAAAAGTTTAGTCTTTCAGAAGGACATTAAGATCTAACTAAATGGGTCTATTCCTGCTCATTATGTTGCCCACACAGGTCTGGGAGAATGTTGATTCCTCCCTACTGTCAAGATAGGTGAAATAGAAATTGATGTCTCTTTGACCAAGATTAAGTAACTTAAGTCATGTATTCCAAGACCCTCATTTTAATATAACCCACCTCCCAGTGTGTTGACCAATTAAGAGTTGATTGGCATCCCTTGGGAACACCTACTCTTTGAAGGGCATATTCCCCCCACCCTCAAACTGAGCCAGTTCTGAACTGACCCCCTCAGGGGGGCCTAGTTTTTGTTTTTTTGTTTTTTGGCTAGGCAATGGGGTTAAGTGACTTGCCCAGGGTCACACAGCTATTAAGTGTTATGTGTCTGAGGCCGCATTTGAACTCAGGTCCTCCTGAATCCAGGGCCAGTGCTCTATTCACTACGCCACCTAGCTGCCACCTAGCTGCCACCTAGCTGCCCCCTGGGGGGCTGGTTTTGAACTGAACTCCCATGCAATGCAGGTCAAGCCATCTTGAGAGAAATTAAACTGTGTACATATGCACCCTAATTTCGTTTGTCTCTTTCTTAGAACAGACTGTGTAATTTATTGGGGTTCTACACCACATATTTTGTACAGGTATCCATTCTTCCCACTGATAATATGTTTATTCGTCAGAGAGTGCATCTCTTATCTATTTATGAGAAAATGTTCAATTTCTACTTTTCCTACTATAATGCCTTTACTTTGAACTAATTGTGACCTCCGGCGAAATAATAATAAAAGTAAGTATATTGGTGGGGGCTCATGACATGCATGCATATGTAGATATTGATCCACAGAGCACCTTGAACCTGGAGTAGTTTGCCTGAAGGAATCCACATGTAAGTGTCAGGGGAGGGGCAAGGGAGAAGTGCATAAATAAACAGAAGAAAATCAGTACCTGAAATTCCAACATAGTTTTCCCCATGTTTGACTCCAGCATATAATGATAGGCTCCTATGCTGGTACTTGGGTCATCAGCATCATTTATAGTGCCCTTGGGAAAAAGCATGAGAAGAAAAGATTACTTACTGATTTTTGTTCCACAATGAGTTCTCTTTCACCATGTCTTGTGACAGGAACTCCAGAAAAATACAATAGGTTTGATAAGAAGCCACCCTAAAACTAGTTCAGTGGTTGACTTTGGATAAGATTCTGAATCTCTTTGTTTCAGAATGGAAAAGTTTTTTAACTGAGTTTTTCATCAGAATGAAAGTCAATTAGAAGGTTGTTTGATACAGTAGAGAGAGTCTTGGAGTCCTGGTCCTGTAGTCATAGACCTTAGTTCAAATGAGATAATATTTGTAAAGCACTTAACCCAGTACCTGGTGAATAAAAGGTGCTTAATAAATGCTTGTACCTTTCCCTTCCCCTTTGTTTCTGTTATGCCTCTGACGCTTGCTACCTTGGTTGAATAACTCAGTCTCCTCGGGCTTCAATTTTCTTTTCTGTAAAATGAGTAAATTAGACTCGGTGGCCCCTGAGATCTCTTTCAGTTTCAGACTCGCAAGTTATGTAATAATAGAAATCGTTTACAAATTAATTATACGTATACATAAAAATACATATAAAATAAAAACATTCAAATCAATTTGAATAGGCTCTCCTCCCACCCCACTTTATATAACTGCCCTCTAAATGCCTTCTTAGCTGTCTACTAAAAAGACCATTTGAATGATGGCAGTGTCCTGGGCATTGCTAGGAGAAAGCATGAAGTTGATCTATAAAAATTCCTATGGCTACAAGAACCATCCATACTTTCTGTTCATGATTCGTGACTGAGGCTTTCTATAATACTCTGCTGTTTGGTGTGGATGTGGATCTTGGCTTGTATTTCCTTCACGCTTGGATTATTTAAACCTCAGGAAACTAGGTGGATAGGTAAAGGGTAGAAACTGAATTCCCTCAAACCTAGATGGGGGGGAAATAAGCTCTGAAAAAGCCTGTAGGCTAAGTAGATCTAGTAAGAATTAGGCCCTTTAATAAAGACCATCCAGTAGTGAATGGTCAGGAATTCCTCTGAAGGTCAGCAATGGCAGCTTTGTGGGACTGAATAAACACAGCAGCCTACAGCAGGTAGCAGCAAATCCATAGCTTTTGAATGCAATAACATTAACATACTGCTACTGAAATATTTATGCTAGCTTTTAAAAATCCCAGAGGAAATCTGCCCAGAGGTCTGCAAGGCTTATACTTTTTTACCTTAAAAATTTCCATTAAAAAATGATAAATTACCTTTACACTAAGAAATTCCCTAACACCCTCTCTACCCTGAGGGTAAATTCCACACCTAAAGAAATCAAGTTCTATTTCCCTAACTTTGTCCCTCAAAGACATTCATGTGAAATTCACAAGACTCAGAAACAAAGGCCTCCTGCCATCCAGGGTCAAATATAGAGGTCTCTTTGCAGGTTCAGCTACCCTCCTGTCCTTTGTTCCCAACCTTTTTCATCTTTTTTAAGTGATAAGAGCATTTTTGATCAAAACAGCATATGCTAGCAGAATTCTAGAAATAGTTAAACTATATGCCACACGTGTAAGCAGAAATTTCTTTCGGCATGACAGAATCATCTCAGTTAGCCTAAGGCCAAGATTGGAGATCATCCCCTCATTTTACAGATGAAGAAACTGAGATCCAGAGAAGCTGAGTATTTTATCTAAGGACATATAGATAGCAAGGAGCAGCACCTAGATTTGAGCTGACATCTTCTGACTACAAATCTAGAGCCCTGGTGAGGGACTAGGCCAGGGGGTGGGGAAATATGTGGCCTAGAGGCCAAGTATGGCCATCTAAGTCCTCAAGGGCAGCCCTTTGACTGAATCCAGACTTCACAGACCAAATCCCCTTAGTAACAGTCACTAGGCTAATGAAGGGGGAAAGAGGCCTGTGAATGATCATCAATAGACAATAATCCAAAAGTCACATTTATTTTGGATTTTAGAATGAAGTCAGATACCAAAGCATGTGCTGTGTGCACACACACATACACATTTGTGTGTACATGCACAATTCTTTGTATCTGTCCCTAATTTCATCTCCATTGAACCCTACTTTTAGTATCATGGCAGGAGAATATTCCCAGGAAGAGATATCTGCAGAAAAATAATTGACTCCCCAGTAGCTTAGATGTCCCTTCTAAATTAGTGGACAGGAGTTTTGAAAGCCTTCTAGAACATGTGGGCTTGATCCCTTGGCTTAAGAAAGGAGTAAGTACTTGAGATTTAGGAGGTGCATTGACTATTTCAGATCACTAGTTTATTATTTACGGTTTAGGGTACTGAAGAAGCCATTAACAAAATGGGTCTTATGGACTTAGAAGAATTAACACCCATTTAAAAGTTTAAAGAGTTAGCTGGCTTCTCACAGGTAAGATCTGGGCTATGACTGAGGTGAGGGGGAGGGCACACTGCAAAACTATCAGTCTTAATTTCAAGACTGAGAAACTCTCTCTGCCAAATTAACTGTTTTCCCCTAAAATGGGAGCTAGCACCTAATCTCTGTTTTCCTGACTACTAGCCCAGTGGGTTTTCCCCTATCAAGCTTCAGTAAAATAGGAAAGATCAAATGCATGTGGACCTTAAAGAAAAACCCACTTAGAAAGCTTTCTGATGACCCCAAAACATCCCACCATTTTCACTGCTGCCAACTTCTCACCCCTTGTAGATAGCACTTACGCTGGTGGAGGCGATGGCTTCCTGAACGCTTTCTATAATGAACTCTTAGTGATCCTTCGAGAGGGCAGTTCATTGAAGAGGGAATTGATCAGGGCCACTTTGGCTGCATCCCGTCTCGCCTCTGCTCTGCTTAGGCAGCACTGAACAATATTTTTGAAAAGGAGAATAAAAAGGAGTTACCAAGGCCAACAATGTTTTCATTTATCTATTTGTTGTGGTTTTTGGGGGGGAGTGACGGTGGCTATTCTCACACATGGAGCAGTCAGGTGGCACAGTGTTGGTTGAATGCTGGGCCTGAAGTCAGGAAGACTTGAGTTCAAATGTGACCTCAGACACTTCCTAGCTGTGTGATCCTGGGCAAGTCACTTAACCTTGTTTCCCCAATTTCCTCATCCGTAAAATGAGCTGGAGAAGGAAATGACAAACCACTACAGTATCTTTACCAAGAAAACCCCAAATGAAGTCACAAAGAATAGGAGGCATGATTGAAACAACTGAACAACAAAATTCTTACTATTTCCATAGAGATGGTCTGCAATTTTCTATTAGTTCTAGACCTCGTGAACAAATTTCACGTCTGTAGATTTCTGTTATCTACAAACAACTTCAGTGTCTGTAGAAATTTAAAAAAAAAACAGACACAGTACTTTCCCCTTAATACTCTCTTCTCTCCAGGTTTTCATGACACTGTTCTCCCCTGTTTCTTCTCTTAACTGCCTGACCACTCTTCAGTCTCCTTCGCAGGATCTTTATCCGGCATGCCCACTAACCATGGGTGTCCCACAGTCCTCTGTCCTGGACCCACTTCTTTTCTTCTATTCTATTACACTTTGTGATCTCAGCAGCTCCAATGGATTCAGTGATCTATTTCTATTTTACATCTACTTATCCGGTCCTAACTTGTCCACTGACCACCATTTTTGAATCTCCAATTTTCTATTGGATGCCTTGAACTGGATGACTCATAGATATCTTAAACTCAACATGTCCAAAACTTAACTTCCCCCTAAAACATCCCTTCTTCCTAATTTCCCTATTACTGTTGAGGGTACTACCATCTTTCTAGTCCAGGGGTGGGGAACCTGTGGCCTAGAGGCCACATGTGGCCCTCTAGGTCCTCAAGTGCGGCTCTTTGAATCCAAACTTCACAGAACAAATTGTCCTAGTCACTGAGGCTCACAACTTAGGTGTCATCCTCATCTCTATACTGTCACCATCCCCTCCCATATCCAATCTGTTACCAAGTAATATTTGTTTTTTTTTTCTTTCATTAGAAAAGCTAGAGAATAAAAGGAAGAACTGCAAAGAAGAAAAGTGAAAAGGATGTTTATTTACTCTTTCCTTCAGGAACAATTTAAACCTTTGTAATATTTCTGGAATATGCCCCCTTCTCTCCTGACACTGCCACTGCTCTGGTATAGGGCCTTATCACCTCACATCTGGTCTAACGTAATAGCCTTCTGGTTAGTCTCCCGGACTCAACTCAAGTTTCTCCCCACTCCAGTTCATCCTCCACTCAGCTGTTAAAAAAAAAAAAAGACAGTTCTGTCCTAAAGGACAGGTCTGACCATGTCACTCAATAAACTCCAATGGCTCCATATCACCTGCAAAATCAAATATAAGACCCATTGTTTTGTATTGAAAACCCTTCATAATCTGTCCCTCTTCGAGTTTACTGATACACCTTATATGCCCCTTTCCATGTGCTCTTTGATCCAGTGACGCTGGTCTGTCTCCTTGCAGTTCCTCCCACCAGACACTCCATCTCTGGCCACCTCTAAACCGGATTTTCTCTAGCTGTCCCCTATGTCCTCCTTAGCTCCACCTCCTGTCTCCCCTGGCTTCTTTCAAGCCCTTGCTTCAATCTCACCTTCTACAGGAAGCTTTTCATGATTTCCTTTCATTTTAGTGTCTTCCCTCTATTGATTATTTGTAATTTGTCTTGTGTATAGCTTGTATGTACATAGTGTGTGCCCCATTACACTGTAAGCTACTTGAGACAAGGGGGTCTTTTGCCTTCCTTTGTATCCCCTGCACTTAGCACAGTTGCTGGGACGTAGTAGGTGCTTAAATATTGATTGACTAATTGTAATTCCTGCTAGAGTGGAAGACTGAGGCTGTTGGATGCTTGGGGTCAGATGTTCTGCTCTACAGTAGGGCTAAAGCACACAAGGTTTCTGCAATACTTCCAGTACAAATATAGTGAGCTCCGGAGAACAGAGGTCTGTCAGGCTGCCTAAGGGGTGGGGGTGGGGGGAAGGATTGGTTTACAGACCAATTCGGAAAAATGACGCAGGTTAGAGCTTCCTGCAGAACAACAGTGGGCTAAAGACCATGAGTAGCTGCTTCATTTTCAGCATGTGCAAGATAGAGAGATCCAGTTTCAAAAAAAGGAAAAAAAAAAGAAGAAAAAGAAAAAAAAAGGCAATTAGCACGGGAGGGGTTTTAACTGACTCTTAACTAGAAGAGACAGTTCCTTTATCCTTTAAAATTGAAAACATGATTAGAGTTCAAAAAAGTTTATGTAGAAAATTTTGCTGCATTTCCACAATGATGGGGATTGACAAGTTCAGCCACTCCCTAAAGCCTGCTTAGGAAAGTTACAGGCCTATAGCCAACTACCCAGTGAAAATTTATAGCTCTCTCAGACTTCCGTAGCACTGAGATGAAGGACTGGGCAGGTACCTACATTGTTTTGTGTTGTGGGTTTTTTGATGCTCTAGGGTCTCAGTTGTACTCAGAGGTCCTACTTTTCTGCAGCTCAGGGATCTCAGAGTGTGCTAAAAACACATGGTGTAGCTCTTAAATGATATTTTTAAATTGTTCCTGAAGAAAAGAGTAAATAAACATCCTTTTCAATTTTCTTCTTTGCAGTTCTTCCTTTTATTCTCTAGCTTTTCTAATGAAAAAAAAAAGTCCATTTCCATTTACCCTATATGATATTATGGTACAGGAATGTTTGAAAATATAATACCTGAATCCCTGGTGAGCAATTGCACAGACTGCATGGTGAATGATATCGAGTTCCATTCACCATTCTTTGCTTTCTTTTTAATAGGGTGCTAATTTTTTGAATGTTTTGCTAGTATTAAAAGATAACCACAAAAGTAGTTCGTTTTGAAATGCATTTGACTTTACTGAACATAAAATAGAACATTTGGGGTTGTAGGATGGCAGGATCTCATGGAACTTTATGACATTTAATCTAAATAATGCCAGTTTAAACCATCTTTGGGAGAAAGAGAACTAGTAAACACCACATTGATAAAAGAAGCTCTCTCTTTTAAGTAAAACCAGTTAAGTATCAGATCAAAGAACAGGCATACATTTACAACCAAATGGGATTGCTTTAGAGATCAAAGAACATACATCTGAAAGGACAGAATGGGCCTTATACTCCGAGAACATTAAAAGGAACTATGAAGACTTAAAAATATCAAGATTTTTAAAAAGTCATATGTCTCTACTTATTGTTCCAATTTATTAAATCTTCTTTTAATATGGGGGAGAGAGTACACTAATTAATAAACTTATAAAATAAAACAAATTCTGTATCATCAAAGAACTTTTCTTGCTATTGTATTTCTGAAACACAACTACACTTCAAAAAAAGTCTGAGTAAAATTCACCAGTTCCTTCTTTCAACATTTCTGGGAATCAAGGTAAAAGACAGTATTACATTTTTTTTTCCTGAAAGACTTCTCTCTTCCTTAGGGTATTATCCTTCTACTTCCTTTCTCAAATCATAAAAACCTAGTGTTAGACAAGAAAGAAAATGGTTTTGCTATCTTTCCTGTGAAATAGTCTAGTTAGACTACCCAAGCCCAAATGCATAGAGCCAAAAAGACAAAAATCATTAACTTTATTAAATTAACCATTAACCAATCAGTCAGAGGGACAAATTTTTAAAACAATAAAATGTGATAAAACATCCTTTGTGGTGAGATTTCTTCACCTGCAAAAGGAAAGGATCAGACCATATTTCTCTAAGATCCCTTCTAAACAAGAGTCTTGTGTTGATGTCAGCACTGGTCAACTTCAACTTTGAGAATGAGTAAAGGGAAGAATAAATCATAAGATTATTTTGAAACAGTTCCCAAAACACCAATACCCTGCCAAAGGAGTTGGGCTTTCCAGGAATGTATCACATTAATATTTTTTTTTTAGCAAAAACCAAAATAATAGAGGTTTGTAAACTATTCTATGTGTGATAACCACACATTAACAAAATTAACTTCTTTCACATTTTATGAAAGTACAAAGCCAAAATGTTTAATGGACAAGATTGTTTTATTAACACTATCCACTCACTGATGCCTAGTTTACAGTTCTATAATTTCCAACTGGCAAGAAGACCTCCACCAACTATTTATCAGGCTGTTTAGTGGATTCCATTCATTGTTAGATTATAAGCCTCAAGAGTCATTTCAGAGGCTCCCAGTTTTCAATACCAGCAATGTCTTATCTTGAGACTGACTTGTGAAAAATAAATCAATGTGGACTCTTCCAGGGAAGAAGCTCAAAGACTTGTTATCTTGCCATCAATAACATGACAGTATGGTGCAGTGGAAAGGACACTGAATTTGGAGTCAGGAGAGCTGGGTTCAATTCACACTCCTGTGACCTTGGACAAGTCAAGGAATCTTTTTTGTGCCTCAGTTTCCTCATCTGTAAAATAAGGAGGTTATACAAGAGGGTCTTTAAGGTCCCTTCTGATTTTAAATTATTTTTATTATTTCTATGTCCTTTCCTATGTTCCTATGATAATTTTTAAACCCACCTGTGAGGGACAGCACAGCCTAACCATGAACATTTGGCACAGAGGAGTTACGAAGTGTGGGCAAAGTTGCGTAGAATATTTATACATCCTCTGCTCCCAGACCCAGTATGCTAATTCAGCATTTCTTAAACTTTCCAGGAACCAACTAGACAGGACAAAAGACTCCATAATGTAGTCTAATCTACCCACTCACCTTTTATTTTCCCCTCCCCCGACCCTACCTCCCACCCCTTCCTTACTACCACTAGCCACTTACCAAAAACCTCACCTCACCTTGGGAATGAGCAGTGGTAGAGAGCTGAGTGGTTAGAAAGGAGATGAAGAGGGTGAGTAGTAAAAAGTAAGTGTCTGATGTGGTGT